CCCAACTAACTCCCACCCAGTCCCAGTATAGATATACTCTGTCGAACAATAGGGCTGACCCGCCGCTGTCCTTATTTTGAAGGGAGTGTTTCAGCTGAAACCTGCTGTTAAACCGGAAGAAAGAGGCAATCGACAAGACAAGGCCGGAAAAAGCAGGCACATTCGTGTTGTGACTTACGAACTGCAAACGGTGAAAAATACTCTGTATCATTCTCATTTCAGTGGAACAGTATAAATTACGAATTTGCATGCGTGCACACCATGCGCGAGTCCGGTTCCGTATAGTCACTTCTTTACTCTTTAACTTCTTTCGGGTAAAACCGCGGTGACGTACAGTGCGGACAGTTAGGGGTGGGGCACATAGGGCTCTGTTTCGAGCACGCTGTGCGGCGAGCGGGGCTTCTTAACAGATCTTGAGGAAGTAAGGAAGACTGTAGTTTTTCAGAGCTCATTCACGTTTTCTCTGCGTACTTCGGCTCAGCTTGCGCTTACCCGCTCCCCCCCCCCCTCCCCCTCGAGGCGCACCCGAGTGTCGGCGGCCCGCAGCCCACTCGACGCCCGAGTATCTCCGTTGCCTACCCTCGAGGCGCTCACATTGGATCACACAACCTTCTTGTTGTCCGTGCTTGGGACGTGCTCGCACCCGGACCCGGATCAACACCCATGCCTGTCTCTCTCCCTCACACCACATGCCTGTCGCTCAGTTTGGCTGTCTCTCTCTTACTCTCGCTCTCTCCCCCCCCCCCCCCCCCCTCCCCCTCGAGGCGCACCCCCTCTCCACAGACCCCCCATCTCATCCGCACCACCACCTAAAGCCCCGCGGGGGTGTTTAAAAAGTTGTTAGGGAAGTTCCGTCATTTCCTCCTTGGCCTTAAGAGATTATCCGTCCAGAAAGTACGACGTCGGTTTTACTCGGCAGACTACTGCACGGGATCTTGACGCCTGTGAGACTCGAGGTAGGCCACCCCGCAGTACATGCATGCACTGTAGGTGAGATGTTGCCTACCCACCAGGCGCCATGAGAGCCTGCATATGATCTGAACTTTTGGCAGTATCGTAACGACGAATGACGAGTGTGTACTTTTCCTCGATGATCCCTCGGCAGCCGCCACCATGGAGGAAGTATATA